ACGAGTTCTGATGCTATTTTCTGGTCTCTATGGACACTGCACACACATACATATATTTTCAATGGCACACAAGACACATAAAATTTTTCAAAAAGGAATGTTTTATAATGCTCTAGATGTTTCTAAATCCAACCAGACAGACATTTGAAATTAACCATCTCAGGATCTATTGTCCCACACCTTCCCACTTCCAGGAAGGCTCACAGAGATGTTTTTGCAGGCCTGACACTACCTTGAAATACTGACAGAAATCGACACAGCATGTTGTCATGGTGGTGGCCAGGAACTGGCTGCTATCACACCCTCCTAGCTGTTTGTCTCTGACTGCAGTCCTCGACACCCCTATAGCTGAAGCACGTGGTCTTTTTAAGGGCACCTGCTGGGTGAGGCTCTGCCGAACCATTCCAGTCTCCTCCGACACCCACCCTAACTTTTGCCAATAGCATTTTGCCCCCAGGCTATCTTCTCAGGCTGCCTCTATGGACTTCCAATCTCATTCCAGGCCAGGTCTGTCATGCTCTGGAGGGTAGCTGCGTCTTGTTCTATGTCATGCTGGCCTCCGGATCGAAGTCCCCTGGAGGGCAGGACTGCTGGGTTCTTGGTTAGGATGGTGCTGGTGATGATGGTCCTTAGGAAAGACATGTCCTTTCTGGCTCAACAGAGCGACAGCAGCTAGCATTCACTGTTGTTAGAGAGTGGCATATGCCCACTAACTTCTTCTCTTCAGAACCAGAGCCTGAGTCCCAAATTCCAGAGAGACCCAGCCGCAGGGAGCCTCTGGTTGTCAAGGAACATGAGACCTTTGTCCTGACTGCCACCATGGCTGCACCCTCTGTGGCTGCTGTGACCTGGCTCAAAGATGGCGTGGAGATCCGCCGCAGTAAGCGGCACGAGGCAGCCAGTCTGGGCGATACCCATACCCTGACCGTGAGAGGTGCACAGGTCCTGGACAGTGCTATCTACAGCTGCCGTGTCGGCAAGGACGGTCAGGACTTCCCGGTGCAGGTAGAAGGTAAGCAGAGGCTGGGGCCCAGCGTCTGGATCTCCTCCAGGGTCCCTATGTCTTCTCCAAAGACTAGAGGCAGTGTTCAACAGCAGACCCAGAGTGGGGCTCAGGACACAGGGCCATCTGCATAGGGCTCTGACTGACACCTCCTTCTCCCCTCAGAGGTGGCCACCAAGTTCTCCAAACCCCTGGAGCCCATCGAAGGGGAATTGGGTGGCACCGTGACACTGGTCTGTGAGATGAGCCCGGAGCAGGCTGAGGTTGTGTGGCGCTGTGGAAACACACAGCTGCGGGCGGGCAAGCGCTTCCAGATGACATCTGAGGGGCCTAGGCGCACACTGACCGTGTCTGGCCTTCGAGAGGATGACGCAGAGGAGTATGTGTGTGAGAGCCGGGATGACCGCACCAGTGCACGGCTCACTGTCAAAGGTACCCGTGGGTGAGCTAAGGTGGCTTCCTGAGGGAGACATCCTTCCATGTGTCTGTCTGATAGGGGTCTCTGTAGAGCCTCTCCTATGTCCTCTCATGCACACTTTTCCTCTGTAGTTCCCCGCGTGGTCAAGTTTACATCTGGATTGAGTGCCATGGTCGCAGAGGAGGGCCAAGAGACCACCTTCCAGTGTGTCGTGTCCCCCAGCGATGCGACGGTCATGTGGTACAAGGATGGCACGCAGCTGAAGCCTAGCGAGAAGTTTGTTATGGTGCAGAGTGGAGCCAGCCGAAGCTTGACTATCGTGGGCCTGACCCTGGAGGATGCTGGCCATGTCACAGTGGAGGCTGAGGGTGCCTCATCTTCTGCTGCCCTCCGGGTCCGAGGTAAGCTGAGAGCTGCCCAGACTTTCAGAATGTCCAGTGGATCTTTGCCATAGGTACCCTTCCCTCCTCATGAGCTGATGAGGGAGCCCCGTATTGTGTCAGGATGATCTGGTTGACCTCAGGGGGACTTGAACTCTCTCAGCTTCAACAGAGGTGATTTGGAGGGAGGACTGGTATCTTCTCTTTATGTGTACTTGGCAGGAGAGGGAATCAGGTTGCGACAATCCAGAGAGCTCTTCTTCTGGAGGAAGTGGCCTCTGGATGAGTCTGCAATGGCAAAGCTGGAGGGGCACTGGCAGCCAGTGCACTTGAAAGCGGGAGGTATGGATGTGCTTGAGAGCCGGGACTTTATTTGGAGATGCAGCAGGCATGGCTGGCTCTTGAGTGAGGGACTGATGAGGCTGGGTGTTCCTCCTGGGGACGGGGAAGGATGGGACAGCTAGGGCCACACTGGAGCCTTTGTCCTCCCCATATATTCTAACACGAGCCATTGTCCTTGGGGCGTGTTAAAGGGCAAACGATGGAACAATGGCTGAGGGGTTGTGAAGTAGCCATACCCAGAAGCCGAAGGCTGGCTCTTGATGGTATCTGGCAGTAGTTGGGAATTCAGCACAGACGACTGGGCCTGGGGGTGGCGTGGTGAGGGGACTGAAGAAGAAACGGCCTTAGCTTCTTCCCCTCATAAAATGAACCTATATAAGGTGTGTGGTTGGGGCTCTTCTTGAAGTGGGACTGCTCATGTGGTGGGGCTCTCTGGGCCTAGATTCAGGCTGGGTGCTGGGGTGGGGCTCGGGCAGGCCCAAAGTAGCCAGGATGACCTCTGCCCTTCTGTGTCTCAGAGGCACCGGTCCTCTTCAAAAAGAAGCTTGAGCCACAGACGGTGGAGGAGAGGACCTCTGTGACACTGGAGGTGGAACTGACGCGGCCCTGGGCTGAGGTGAAGTGGACACGGAATGCTGCCATCCTGGCACCCAGTGAGAACGTTGAGATCCATGCTGAGGGAGCTCGGCACCGTCTGGTGCTGCGGAGTGTGGGCTTCGCTGACCGTGGCTTCTTTGGCTGTGAGACACCAGATGACAAGACTCAGGCCAAGCTCAATGTAGAAAGTAAGGCTGTGGTTGGGACTTAAGAGGGAGAGAGGGGATCCTTCAGAAGTGGGAGATGTGGCATTGTGTTGGCTGTGAGGTGGAACGGGGTTTCCTTTTGTAAAGGCAGGCGGTCACCCTGGTTCTGGCAGGTAGATTCAGGAAGGAAAAGATGGAGGAGGATGTGAAGGGTCAGGCCCTGGGGGTCAGCTGAGGTTAAAGTTGAGCTGGGTGAAGGTGCTCACTGGGGGCTACTGCCCAGATCCTTCCTCTGCTCTGCGGCCTCCAGGGTGGTGGGCTAAACTCACAGCTGCACCTGAGTCCTGAGTGGTCCTACTTCACTAGCTCACTAGAGCCCCTCTGACAGTGCGACAGGTCCGACTGGTTCGAGGTTTGCAGGAGGTGGTGGCTAAGGAACAGGGCACGGCCTCAATGGATGTGGAGTTGTCCCATGCTGAGGTGGAGGGCAGCTGGACTCGAGATGGCCTGCGACTTCAGCCTGGACCCAAATGCCACCTGGCTGTGCAAGGCCCTGTCCACATCCTCACACTCTCGGCGCTGCAGCCACAGGACAGTGGGTTGGTGGCCTTCAGGGCTGAGGGCGTGCACACATCTGCACGGCTCATAGTCACTGGTGAGTAGGAAAGTGTTGGCAGCCCCACCCAGAGCACACCTACTTCATTTCCCTAAGTGGTCCAGGGAGGCAGATGGGACCAGGACGAAAGTAGAAACCCCTCTGTAGGATTATCATCAGCCCACCTGATCAGAAAACACCCCCTCACTCCATGTGTTCCTTCCCTACCTCCTGTCTCAGAGTTGCCCGTGAGCTTCACCCGACTACTACAGGATGTGGTGGCCACTCAGAAGGAGAAGGTGACCCTGGAGTGTGAGTTGTCACGGCCTGTGGATGTGCGCTGGCTGAAGGTATTTCTCCCTCCTCTCTGCTTTCCCCTGTGGGCATCCAGGAGGCAAACTCCTTTTCCCAATCCTCTCTCATCCTGACCGGTCCTCCCTGCCCTACAGGATGGTGTGGAGCTGCGGGCAGGCAAGGCCATTGGCATAGTGGCTCAGGGAACCTGCAGGAGTCTCGTTATCTACCGGTGTGAGACTGGGGACCAGGGTGTCTATGTATGTGATGCTCTTGATGCTCAGACCTCGGCCTCTCTGAGGGTGCAGGGTGAGTTCTGGACAGGGTGGGAGGGTGGGCAAGGAAAGCTGGCAGCAGGAGTGGGTGCTTTCTTGTGTTTCTGTTTCCACAAGCCTGGCTGCAAGCTAGTAGTATGCTGGGCAGACCCAGTGCTTCTGGGCATACCAGCTGTCTCAGTCAACGTTCTGGGAAGCGACACTGTGACCACAGCAACTCTTATAAGCATTTAACTGGGGCTTGCTTATAGTTCAGAGGTTTTGTCCATTGTCATCATGGAAGCATGGCAGCATCCAGGCAGACTTGGATGCTGGAGAAGTAGCTTGAGAGTTTTATATCAGGATCCACAGGCAGCAGGAAGGGGGAGGGGGAGTGAGGGGAGGAGGATGGGGAGGGAAAGGGAGGGAGAGGGATGGGGGAGAGGGAGAGGAGAAAGGAGAGGGAGAGGGACAGGGAGGGAGAGGGAGAAGGGGAGGGAGAGGGACAGGGAGGGAGAGGGAGAAGGGGAGGGAGAGGGGGAGGAAGAGGGAGAGGGAGACTGGGTCTGGGATGAGCATTTGAAATCACAAAGCCCACCTTGAGTGACATACTTCTTCCAATAAGGCCACACCTCCTAACGCATTCAAATATGTAAGCCTATGGGGACCCTTTTAATTCAAATCACCACAATGGCCCTCTCTCCTTCCCCTAGGTCGCAGTGTTCAGATTACGAAGCCACTGGAGGATGTGGAGGTGATGGAGAAGGAGGGTGCCACATTCTCCTGTGAGGTGTCCCATGATGAGGTTCCCGGCCTATGGTTCCGAGAATCCAGTAAGCTACGGCCCAGTGACAACGTGCGCATCCGGCAGGAAGGTAACAGGGCCGAGGCCTGCAGAGCAGAGTGGGGTGGGGGGGTCCCCAGGATGCCTTTCTCTCGTTCAGCAGTATTGAGTGCCCTTCATCTCCAGGGAGGACATACACTCTTATCTTCCGGAGGGTACTGGCAGAAGATGGAGGGGAGATCAAATTTGTAGCTGAGAACGCAGAATCAAGAGCTCACCTCCGAGTGAAAGGTGAGGACAGCTGGGTGAGGGGAGGATAGAGGCCAGAAGTGGTGAGCTGGCTCTCAGACAGCTGGCCTGCCACAGGCCTAGTGTGCCTCGGGACCCCTCTCAGACAGGGCAGCAACGACTCATGGAGAAGGTAGTGGGTACAGTCTCCTCAGTGGGAGGGGGAGGCGCAAAGAGTGCAAGCATCACTTTGCCAGTGGTCAGTTGTGCCCAGCAGATTCTAGATTAGCCCTGGGTAGGACACTTGACTTGGCCACTCGCTGGCCCAGGTAAAAGCATGGGCTGTTAAGTCTGCAGTAAAGGTCAGTCTCTTGGCTCCTGGGAGCTTGCCAAATCAAAGCTTCCAGGTCACCATCCTGATCCCACCCGTCTGTGTCCACAGAACTGCCGGTGACCCTCCTGCGCCCACTGCGGGATAAGATTGCCATGGAAAAACACCGTGGTGTGCTTGAGTGCCAGGTGTCCCGGGCTAGTGCCCAGGTTCGGTGGTTCAAGGGCAGAGTCGAGCTGCAGTCTGGGCCCAAGTACGAGGTGGTCAGTGACGGCCTTTACCGAAAGCTAGTCATCAATGATGTGCAGCCTGAGGATGAAGATACTTATACCTGTGATGCTGGCGACGTCAAAACCAGTGCCCAGTTCTTTGTTGAAGGTATGGGATACAGACTTGGACAGTCCTCCGGGGTTTGTGAAGGGGGTGGGACTTGTGGTTTCTGTGGCTTGCTCTGGAGGTTTTGGAGGCTGCCACCGCTGAAAGGGGTCTGACTGAGGACACCCAGGCAGCTGTGGAAGATGCTAACTACACGGTAGGAAGAGATAAGAAGGAATATACAGTGTGGGGAGGGGAGACCGAGCTCTCTTGAAGGGTTCTACTGGTGACCACTCAGCCCTCCATCCGCAGAGCAATCCATCACTATTGTGCGTGGGCTGAAGGACATGACGGTTATGGAGCCTGCCCCTGCCTGGTTTGAATGTGAGACCTCCATACCTTCTGTGAGGCCACCCAAGTGGCTCCTTGGGAAGACTGTGCTACAGGCAGGGGCGAACGTGGGGCTGGAGCAAGACGGTACTGTGCACCGGCTGACACTACACAAGACCTGCTCTACCATGACCGGGCCAGTGCATTTCACCATTGGCAAGTCTCGCTCCTCTGCCCAGCTTGTTGTCTCAGGTTAGAATCCAGTATGGGGCAAAGCTGAGGGTGGGACACAGCTCGGGGATGTGGGTGGCCAGAGTTTAGGACCATGGGTGGATATGGCTTGGGGTTGTGGTTTGCTATGCCTCAGGGACATTTAAGTTAGAAGTGAACATGGCACGCCACAGCAGGACGTAGGAAAAGTGCCCAGGCATAGGTGGCCCATGCCAAAGCAACAATACTTGGGCTCAAGGCTGTGGGTGGACACTACTCAGTAACTTTGGGTACAGGGAGGCACATGAGTGGGCTTAGTGAGAGCTGGCATGGGGGCCAGGGCTGTGGTCAGAGGCCTGACAGATAGGATATGGGCTTTCAGGGATGGCAGGGCTATGGGCCAGGGAAGCATGGGATAGTATATGTTGGCTAGGACAGAGCTGTGTGCACACAGTGAGGGGCATGTGCAGCACATCCCTGAAAGTGAGGGCCGGGCATATCGTATGGGCTGTGGATGCAAATGGTTTAGAACCCAGGATAGGCAGGGTGGTCTGGTTTCTTGTGGCTCCCAGCCTTGCCTTGGTATTATTCTCTGCAGACATTCCTGTGGTACTGACACGGCCTCTGGAGCCAAAAGCAGGGCGTGAGCTGCAGTCGGTAGTCCTGTCCTGTGACTTCAGGCCAGCCCCCAAGGCTGTGCAGTGGTACAAGGAGGATACACCTCTGACCCCGTCAGAAAAGTTCAAGATGGCGCTGGAGGGCCAGATGGCAGAGCTGCGCATACTCCGGCTCACTCCAGCTGATGCTGGGGTCTACCGGTGCCAGGCGGGTAGTGCCCAGAGCAGTGCAGAGGTTACTGTGGAAGGTAGGGAGCTGGGAAGAAGGGCAGTGGACCCCACTCCAGGGCAGGGAGTGGCTGGTGATGCAGTGCTCACCAGGTGTTGATGTGTACTGTGTAGCTCGGGAGGTGACAGTGGTTCAGCCACTGCAGGATGCTGAAGCCATGGAGGAAGGCCGCGTCTGCTTCTCCTGTGAGCTGTCCCATAAGGACGAGGATATTGAATGGTCACTCAATGGTACACCCCTATACAATGACAGCTTCCACGAGATCAGCCATGAGGGCTGTCTCCACACACTGGTGCTGAAGAGTGTCCGGCAGGCTGACACAGGCACCGTGTGTGCCACCTCCCCCAAGGTGTCCGTTTCTGCCCGGCTGGTGGTTAAAGGTGAGAAGACCTGTGGAATCTGTGGGGTGCCCTCCCCCTGGGTGGGCCCAGGCTCCCCTCACTGGTCCATGCCATTCCTCCAGCAAAGCCAGTGGTGTTCCTGAAAGCACTGGATGACGTATCTGCAGAAGAGCGTGGCACACTGACCCTGCATTGCGAGGTCTCCGACCCAGAGGCACGCGTGGTTTGGCGCAAAGATGGCGTGGAGCTGGGTCCCAGTGACAAGTATGACTTCCTACACAAGGCAGGTGCCCGGAGCCTTACGGTCCATGACCTGAGCCATGAGGATGCTGGACTGTACACCTGCCAGGCAGGCAGTAAAGAGACCCAGTCCAGGGTCAGCGTGCATGGTGAGTGGCCAGGGCTTTTGGTCAGGATAGGTCTTTTTCCATCTAGAGGCCCCAGGCTGTGCTTTAACACTGAAAGGCTGTGTTTCAAGCAGGCACCACAGAAGTTGTCTGTAGTACGTAGGGCTTAATGTGGCCCTTTGAGGTCCTGGGAACAGGTGGATGGGTCAAGGGGCAACTGTCTACAGATCCTCACAGGGCAGGGCTGGTATGGATTTGTTCAGAGCCCTGACATTTGCTCTGTACCGTGTGTGTGTCAGAAGCACAAGGGAATGGAAACTGTTGAAAAGAAATCAGCCAGGCATGTGTGGGGCACTAAAAGGCATGGCCAGGAGACAGCCCTAAGAGAGTTTCCAGGCCAAGGGCCGATGTCCTCTCCTGCAGGGGAACAGGTCGTCTATGTTCCCATTCTTTAAAGAATGTCCCTAGGTTCACAGTTGCTGCCCCAGGAAACATTTTTATTTTAAGTCCCTTTCACAGGCCTTTCAGCTTGGGAAGCCACTCACTGTCCTGGCTTAGGTCTGGTATCCTAGCTTGGAGGAGCTAGGTTAGCAGTCTGTTCATCCATGATCCCTCTGTGAGAGCGTTAGAGGAAGGAAGCACAGTGAACTTCTCAGAGGACTAGGCTTGCTGTCTCTGGAAGAGGTTACTTATGGGGCTCCTGCCCCTCCCCTCCTGGTGTTACAAGATGGTTAGAAATGTGTAGGATTCTCCTTCTCCCAACCGCCTTGATACATTGCCATCAGGTGTGGAGCTAGGGACCGTGGGAAACTTGGCCCTACAATGTGACATGAGCCTTCCCACTGCCTGGCATGAGACACTACTGTTCCCTCTGTGAACAGAGGGACATCTGTGACTGACTGGTGACCTGTTTCTTATGTCGCTTAGATCTTCATGTGGGCATCACCAAGAGGTTAAAGACTGTGGAGGTGCTGGAGGGAGAGAGCTGCAGCTTTGAGTGTGTCCTTTCCCACGAGAGTTCCAGTGACCCAGCAGTGTGGACAGTCGGTGGGAAGACAGTGGGTGGTTCTGGCCACTTTCAAGCCGTTCGGCAGGGCCGCAAATACACCCTGACAGTCAAAGATGCTGCACTCAGTGATGCAGGAGAGGTGATCTTCTCAGTGCTGGGCCTCACATCCAAGGCCTCACTCATTGTCAGAGGTAGGTGCTGTGGCCGAGACCAGGAGCCTGACACAGTGAACTGGGGTAAAGTTGAGCTGGGGTGCTTCTAGAGACCATCTCCCTATCATGGTGGGGACTCAAAATATCTGTTGGGGGCACTGGGGTGGGGGATTTTGGTTATTGAAGGGCGTGCTATTCCTGCCTGAGCATCTTTGAGTTTCTAGAGCAAGCCCAGAATTCTGGTCTCTCATTCATGGTCTGACTGCTCTCACTTTATGTAGCTCACTCAGCCAGTCTGACACTTAAATAGAAGCCAGGGAGGCTGCACAGTAGCCTCTGATGTCTCGAAGCTTGTGCTTCTGACACACACATGGTGCTCATGGGTGGATCTGCATAGGGACCAGCCAAGCTGCAGCCATACCCTGGTATGAGCCTTGAATGAAGTGTCCTTAGAGCCCATGCTTTGTAGGTCTCAACCATAACAGTGAAGGCTTGCTTCAGAGTCTTGAGCCTCTAGGAGTCTAAGGAGTAAAGGGTTAGAGGTTATGTGGTTTTGATCTCTAGAGAGAGCATGTTCCCAAATACCTGTCCTCATCCAGGCCATGGCTGAGGCCAATTCTCCTCCTCCTCTTCCTTCTCCTCCTCCTCCTCCTCCTCCTCCTCCTCCTCCTCCTCCTCCTCCTTCTCTTCCTTCTCCTCTTCCTCTTCCTCCTCCTTCTTCTTCTTTTTATTTATTCTTTTCTCATACAATACATACCAACCAGTCTCCCTTCCTTCTACTCTTCCCAGTCCCCTGCCTCCCCGCAAGCTCTCCTTTCTTACAGACACACTGCTCCTCTGTGTCCCTTCAGAAAAGAACAGGTCTTCCAGGGATATCACCCAAATATAGCATGACAAGATGTACTAAGACTAGGCAGAAACCCTTATATAAAGATTGGATGAGGCAGCGCTGTAGGAAGAAAAGGGTCCCAAGAGCAGGAAAAAGAGTCAGAGACAGCCCCCTCCCACTCTTAGGAGTCCCACAAAAACCCCAAGCTAAACAATTACAACATATATGCAGACAGCCTAGCACAGACCCATGCAGGCTCAGAGACTGTCATTTCAATGCTGAGGGCCATTTCTAAAGGATGTTGCAGTGACTATGTGGCTAATGGCTGGTTCTGTGGCCGAAGGTGTGCCTCATGGGGACCATCTCTGCTTATTCCAGAGAGGCCAGTGGACATCACAAAGCCCCTGGAGGACCAGCGGACTACGCTTGGGGAAGATGTGATGCTAAGCTGTGAGCTGTCTCGGGCAGGCACCTCTGTGCGCTGGCTGAAAGATGGGAAGGCCATCCGGAAGAGTCAGAAGTATGACCTGCTCAGTGAAGGCACACGGGCTGTGTTGGTTGTCCGCAAGGCCTCGCTTAAGGATTCTGGAGAGTACACCTGTGAGACAGAAGCTTCCAAAAGCACTGCCAGGCTCTGTGTGGAAGGTAAGCACACCGCACACTGCTCTGCCACAGTCTCTCCTGCAGCTTGCCTGGGGCCACCCCCAAAGCCTCAGTGATGTGACAGGACCTGCACAGTCATAGGAGCCTTACTTTCCCATTCCTACCTGTCTCGTCCTTTACCTAGAAAAGGCAAACCGGTTCACAGAGGAGTTGGCTGACCTGCAGGTGGAAGAGAAAGGCAGAGCGGTGTTCACATGCAAGACAGAGCACCCGGCATCTGTCGTGACCTGGCGCAAAGGCCTCCTGGAGCTGCGTGCCTCAGCGAAGCATGTCCTCAGTCAGGAGGGCTTGACCCTGAAACTTACCATCAATGCCCTGGAGAGGACAGACAGTGACACTTACACCTGTGACATTGGCCAAGCCCGGACCCAGGCCCGGCTCCTCGTCCATGGTAAGGCAACACACACTTGTGTGCTGCTTCTGGCTCTTTAACGGGTATGCCATTCAGCGTTGTCTGAAGTAGACCACGGAAGCTCAGAAGTGCTTAGTCATCAGGACTCTGTTTGCCCTAGCCCAGCCCAGCCTCAGATTCTCTAGGTCTAAGGGTAGAGCAGGTTACCTGGGCATCTCAGGCTTTCCTAGTGTGACCTTCTGTGAGGCAACCAATGGCTTGTCTTCATTTATACAGTGGGTACTTGCTGAAGCTTCCAGGCCTGTGCTGAGTCCCAGGGTGTGTGTTCTACAGGTGCTTGGACATACAGTGTGTAAGTTATTACAGAGGGATGACTCCACCATGCTTGTTGGCAACTAAGGAGCTTTATGTGTTTCCAGGGAAGAACTGGCTGTCTGTCAGTGTGACCAATATCGATAGTGTCAGTTTAGAAAGACTAGAGACAGTGTTGTTAAAGAACAGTCATTCCATTGGGAAGGCATGGCATCGAAATGGAAAGCCCAAGAGCATCCCAGGGCAAGGAGGCACAGAGGAAGACAGGCATGAGCCTGGTGGGTACCGAGCTCAGCATTTCTGCAGATATGCAGCAGGGGCTGGTGTCTGTGGTTGGCGGGGGTGTCCCTGCTGGGCAGGTGTCTGTCTAGGGCCTCTGTTCTGAATTGTTGCAGAGTTCAAGAAGGTCAAAGGTAAACTTTGGTATGATCTGTGCCTATTGACAAGGCATGTGAAGCGTGGATATGTGTGGAACAGGAGGGGATTTCTCTAGGGCCTCAAGAGGTTTGATAAGAATGATCTCAGGGAAATTTGCAGTTTGTTGTTGATGTTGCTTTGTTTATCCATTTTTTGTTGTCTCTGTTCTCACTTGTGAAATGCTATTCCCCTACAATATGCAAGGTGAGCTTTTGTCCTCTCTGGTTTGTAGAGAAGGAAAGTGGTAGTCAGCCTAGGTAGTAGAGATGTGTCTTGGTATCAGAATAGAGATGACCGTCGCTCCTCTGACCACAGCCTTCCCCTAGATCTGCAGTACTGGGTTGGAGTCTGGCATGGGGTTTACTGGAAACCCCTTCTAAGATCTGTCTTCAGGGAATAACATTAGTCATGTTTGCCAGAAGCCTCAGCATTGATACTTAGAAGTAACAAGAGTTTACGCTCGATATTTGCAGGTTCTTCATGTTCAGATCTAGCCCCTTGCTAATTAGAAACATGTGGAAAAAAAGAACTTGTGTGGCTAAGGAGATGTCCCAATTGTCAGAGCTCATGTGAATGCAGGTGTTTGGGACCCACATGTAATTTCTGCTTGGAAAGGTGGAGACCATTGATCTCAGAGCAATCTGGCTATCAAGACTGGCTGTATGAGTGAGCTCTGGGCTTGATTGAGAGACCTTGCCTCATTGAATTAGGTGGAAGAGCTATTAGGAAGATTCCTGACATCAACTGCAAGCCTTTACATGTGTGTGCACACGCACATATGCACCTCCACAATGGAAATATGCATGCACGCACACCCAGGCACATTGCACACACATGGAAAAACAAAGAATCTATGGCTGTGATGAATGCAGACTTAGTTTCCTTTTTTCTACTCCTGTATAATACAAGGTAACATTACACGGAGCACCTCCATTGCATTGGCTATTTAAAGCGTACTGGCAGATGTATGCCAAGTGCAAATACTTCACTATTTTTAATATGGGACTTGAGTGCCCTTGGACTTTGATATCTGTGAGGTCCCAGACCATCTCCCCATCAAGACTCTGGGAGGTAGAAGCAGGAGGAGCAGAAGCTCAAGATCACAGCAAGCTCAGGTTTAGCCTGGAACATATGAGACCCTGTCTCACAAAAGAAAATCAGTAAAGTGTAGACCTTAAGTGTCGAGCGACTGGCCTGTGGGTGGAGTAGAGCCATTCTTTGTGTGACAGCTTACTGATCAGAGCCCTTTCTGTCTGTCTGTCTGTCCCATCCAGTACTGAGGTCTTTCAAGTGGAGCCCTTCCTTCAATGCATTTGTGGGTGCAATTGTGTGTCTGCAGGACCCATGTCAATCTACTGTTCTTAAATTCAACAACAACAAAATATTTCTAGGGATTCACATGTGTGTGTGTGTGTGTGTGTGTGTGTGTGTGTGGTGTGTTTGGATGTCTGAGTGTCTGGGTGTCTGGGTGTATGCTCACATGAGTGTTGGTACCTGAGGAGGCTAGAGGCCTTGTGTACTCTGTAGCTAGAGTTGTAGGTGGTTGTGAGCCATCTGATGTTGGTGCTAACTATTGTACTTCCGTCTTCTGGAAGATCAGTACATACTTTTACCACCATGCCACTCCTCCAGCCCTCAATTTAAATTGTAATGCAGGCATAGCTCTTTGAACTTATTTTAATCTAGTCAATTAATGTGTACTATTTGGATCTACCTGTGATTTAGTGTGATGATTGTGTATGTATAGGCAGCATGTAGTGATCCAATCAGGGTACCAGGTGTTTCCATACATGAGCAATCATCATTTTTATATGTGGTGAGGCTTTAAGCTTTCCCTTGGGTCTTTGAAGTGCAAGTGAGCTAAGCCAAGCACACGGATGCAGATGTCTCAAATTCTTCACATTTGTGGATGCTGAAAACTCCATCTCACAGAACCAGAGAGGAGAACAGAAGAGGCCAGATGGATCCGGAATAGGAAGGCTAGAGTCAGCTGAGTAGCACAGTAGGTTACCTGTGGCCTCTTTGCATCCATCTATGATCTGTCAATGTGAGGTAGACTGCAGTATGAATTATACTGTACTATGGTGAGCACGGTTGGTGTAAGCAGTATTGGGTAGCCTAACTGTTAGCAAGCCTAGCTTAGTACAAAGGGCAGAACAGATTGCAGGAGCTTCAGCAGGCTGTGGGCCTTCCACCAGCTTGGTTGGCAAAAGGACTTCAGAGAGGGATATAGGTCTGGGCTTCAGAGGGTGACTACAAAGGACTACATGGCTCAGATCTGCTTTCACGTTTCACTGACAAGGAGTCAAGTAGACTGCTTGTTTATGGCCCCACTAAGGATCTTGGACAAAATCATTTCTCTGAGCCTGGCCCTAGGCTACAGGAACTCTGCCATGTCCTTTTGTCTAACAGGCCAGAAAGTGCGTGTTATTGAGGACCTAGAGGACACTGCTGTCCAGGAGGGCTCCTCTGCCAAGTTTTGCTGCCGCATCTCCCCTGCTGACTATGGTCCTGTGCACTGGTTCCTGGATAAGACCCCCTTGCACAGCAATGAACTGAATGAAATCACTGTCGAGCCTGGAGGCTACCATGTGCTTACCCTGCGGCAGCTGGCGCTCAAGGATTCAGGCACTGTCTACTTCGAGGCGGGTGACCAGCGGACCTCAGCTGCCCTGCGGGTGACTGGTGGGTTTTGTGTCTAAGGGCCATCCATGATGGGGACACTACATGGTCTAGAGGATCCTTGAAGAGGGGCAGGTGACAGCTCCTTTGTGAGCTCTGTCTAGTGTACAGTATGGTCCTGGGGCTCACTGAAAGGCAAGATTAGCTGTCAATGGCAAGAGGTTCTCTAATCCCAGGTAGGTAGCCAGTGGCGTGGGGTCTCCTATACCTCAGGGAGTTAATTCAGAAGACTCAGTTGTGTTCTTTCAGAATTAATTTCTGAATTCAAAAATTGTGGGGGATGTTATTGTGTCCAGAACGGAAACTGCCCAGAGCCTGCCTTGTGCCCTCAGCATTTCTGTCTGGCTCAAGCCTGAGGGCACCATGCAGATACTGATCAAGGCCTTGCATGGCCCATTGTGTCAGTCCTTTCAGAGAGGTACCACCAATCCAATTACCTTTGGCTTTTCTCTATCCTCCAGAGAAGCCGAGTATCTTCTCTCAGCCACTCACAGACGTCACAGTCACGGAAGGCGAGGACCTGACTCTTGTCTGTGAAACCACCACCTTGGATAGCTCTGTGCGCTGGACCAAAGATGGGAAGACATTGAGGCCATCTGCACGATGCCAGCTGAGCCGTGAAGGCTGTCAGGCACAGCTGGTCATCACTGGTACCACCCTACAAGATGGTGGGCGGTACAAATGTGAGGTTGGCGGAGCATCCAGCAGCTCCATTGTCAGGGTCCATGGTGAGTGCCAGGTGGGCATGTTTGGGGCAAGAATAAAAATATGTCCACATGCAGAAGGAGGCAGGGGACCCCCAGAGTAGCTTCTGGTTTCTTACTTCTATCTCCTTCTGCTGTGTAGGGCACTTGGCTTTCTTGCATCTCAGGGTGTCTACTGCCCCAGTAGTCTTCCACCCTCTCTTGGTCTCCTGATTCTTGCTTGTGGCCCATTCTTGTATTGGTTTTGATGGAACCCTCTGGAGTCCTTCTTCCTGCCTGTGGCTTGCCTCTGTCTGGACTTCCTAAGCTACCAGCATAGATAGGCAGCTTGCACAGTGGGAGTCTGTTGAATGAAAGTAGGAGATTAAGGTCCTTGACTGGGTGGCCCCTGGGGGTCTGTCCTTTTGATTTTCAGATGCCATTTTGTCTGTGACTCTAGATGGTTATTCCTCTTTGCTGGTATCCTAGTTAAGGATGCCAAAGCAGTGAAGCAAGGGCTCATTCCAGCAATCATATTCTATTTTATGTCCTTAATGTCTACAATGCCAAACAATCACAGTCTGAGGCCCCAAGTTAGGGCTTCAACATCTGAACTTTTGGGGGACACAGCTCCCATTATAATACTTTGTCTTTATGTTCATCTGTCAGTGTCTACCTTTTCCATTTGCATACCATCAGACTTATCTTTCTCAGAGGTCATTGGGTCCTTGCTACTGGCATCCAATATTTGAGTCGCCCCACACCCTATAGCTGCTTCCCTTTCTGGACCCCGGGTGGGATCCTCCTCCAGGAGACTGAACCTACCCTTCCTGTTCATAGCTCGGCCAGTGCGGTTCAGAGAGTCCCTGAAGGACTTGGAGGTGCCAGAGGGCAAGGCTGCCACACTACACTGTGTGCTGTCATCCGTGGCTGCACCTGTGGAGTGGCGTCATGGCGATGATGTCTTGAAATCCGGCAACAAGTATAGTCTGCGCCAAGAGGGTGCCGTGCTGGAACTGGTCATCCGAGACCTGAAGCCCCAGGACAGTGGGCAATACTCATGCTCCTTTGGGGACCAGACAACTTCAGCTACACTCACAGTGAAAAGTAAGTGTGCCTGTGCATACTGTGTGCTCAGGTCCGGATGGGAACCCCAGCCCAGTGCTGGAGAAGAACAGTGTTCTCTGTATTTGTGTCTGTTGCAGTCTCATCTGCCCAGTTCATAGGAAAACTGAGAAACAAGGAGGCCACAGAAGGGACCATGGCCACACTTCGGTGTGAGCTGACCAAAGAGGCCCCCGTGGAATGGAAGAAGGGAACAGAGACCCTGAGAAACGGGGACAAATACACTCTGAAGCAGGATGGAGCTGTGTGTGAGCTGCAGATCTGTAGCCTGCTGGTGGCAGATGCAGGGGAGTACTTGTGTGTGTGCGGACAGGAGAAGACTTCAGCCACACTGACTGTCAAGGGTAAAGAGCACTTATGGCTCCCCCCCATGCCTGTGCACTTACTGTGCATCCCACCTTACTTCTTGAGTCATTATATATATGAACCACAACACCAGCACCTGCAGCTGGCTTCCCACTCCTGAGTGCTGGTGGGTTCTTTCCTGTTGCTATGCTGTGTTCTGTCTTGTTCCCTATCCTGTCCTATCACGTTCTATCTTCCCCCACTCTGTAGCAGATCTGATGCTCCAATCTTTGTCTTACCCTCCTAGCTCTGCCTGTCCACTTTATCAGAAGGCTCAGGAGCAAGGAGGCCACGGAAGGGGACACGACCACGCTGCAGTGTGAACTGAGCAAGGCGGCCCCTGTGGAGTGGAGGAAGGGAACAGAGACCCTGAGAGATGGGGACAGATACACCCTGAAGCAGGATGGGGCCCTGTGTGAGCTGCAGATCCGCAGCCTGGTTATAGAAGATGCTGGCGAGTACTTGTGCATGTGTGGACAGGAAAAGACCTCAGCCACGATGACCATCAGGGGTAAAGACCACTCATATTCCTGTGTGAGGGTGCCCCTGTGCCTGGGTGGCTCTGTGCCTGAACATCTTCTACCCGCCTTTCCTGATTGTCTATGTTTTGTCTTTATACCATTAGCTGATGTTTCTCATACTTGTATGGGATGCCAGAAAACAAAGGAGAATTGGGTGTTTCTTAACCTTAGGAATGTCCTGGTTCTCTCTCTCTGTCTCTCTGTCTCTGTCTCTGTCTCTGTCTCTGTCTCTGTCTCTCTCTCTCTCTCTCTCTCTCTCTCTCTCTCTCTCTCTCTCTGTGTGTGTGTGTGTGTGTGTGTAAGCAATTACAAAGGTGTAATTATAAGTCCTGGGGGGAACATCAGGAAAAGAGGGAGGCAGGAAATGGAAGAATGGCACACACAACAGGGACATAGGAAGGACAGCCTTGTCATGTGTCTGACTGTGAAGGTAAGGATTCAGGTAAGTATCAGGCAAGGTCGAAGGTCCACTCCTTAGGATGAGGGTGGGACACCACCCCATGAGAGTCAGGATGGAGGTGGGGAAATATGAATCAAGTCTGTGGGGGTGAGCCTGACACTGTCCTCCCTGGCTTTCCCTGGTCAGTTCTAGATCTTCCTACTGGAAGAGTTTGCTCATCCTGCCACTGACCACTCTACATGTCCTGTGTCGTACATGTAGTGTCTGTGGCCCACTTTTGTCTATGGCTACAGAGTTTAATGGTCTTTGTGTCTGTGTATCCCTCCCAGTTGTGGACAGTACTTCACAGATGGTTAGAGGCCTGGGAGGCATTACAGGAAGTAGGGTCACACTGTGGAGTGTGAACAGAGGAAGGCGACTCCTCGGAGTATGAGCAGAGCAAGCAAGACACCTCCCTGGAGTATGAACAGAGCAAGGTTGGGACCTCCCCGGAGTGTGAGCAGAGTATGACATCTCCCTGGAGTGAAGAGAAAGGCTTTGGAGGTCAGGGATGGAGGCACTCACAGATTGAGGCAGATATGATATACGGAGCCCTGTAGCCTGGCTGCAATGGATCTTGGGAATCCTCATGTAGGCACTGACAGCAACAGACCTTCCCAGAGTGGCCTACTGGAATATGCTCCTGAGTCACAGTGTGTCCAGGGAACTGGAATACCTCTCTTGGTGTGACTGGTGACCTGGTGTTGAGTTGGTTCTCTGTCAGGAGTCCTCAGAGAGGCCTGGGCATCTCAGCTTAGGGAAGCAGCTGTAGTGTACAGACATTGTTGGAGGGCTCTGGACATCCTGGAGAGCAAGGATGGAAAGAATCTCCTACAAGGGCAAGAAGCCCTTGACCTGGTGGGCTCTGCTCTCACATGAAGAACCAACTACTGAGAGCCCTGGAGAGGAAGCTATGGCAGGGCCTGGCCATCTCTTTGTCCAGGATGTGGCAGGTAGCTCCCTGCACAAACACTGGAGACACTTGAATAAAAACCAGCTGCCATGTGGAGAGGCCTGGTGTCAAAACGCAGAGGCATTCAGACATTCCAAAGGATGGCAGAAGGGTGCACCCAAGGCCTGTCCCTTGGCTACAGAGTTAGAAAGAGGTCACAGGAAGACACACTCCCTATTCCCAACCCTAGGACATGCTGTTGATGGCTGAGGTGTGGAGGGTCCTGGCAACCAGCTGCTTTCAAAACTGGGTTTCCTCCAACAAGAGCAATGCATACGGATGCCGTGCCTGGGCCTTTCAAGACTGCTGCATGTTTAGAAGCTACATTGGACCATAAAGTCCTGAGGATTCTCTGAGCTACTGTCCTTAAAGACCTCCAAGCACATAGAGATGGGCACTCAAGAGTCCTCAGTCTTGGCTTGGTAGCCAGAAGAAGTCTCCAGCTTTGGAAAACAAGAACCAGTTTGTCCCTCCTCTTCTTTGTGACTGCTTCCCGCATAGTAGCTGAGGACAGGTGTTCAATCCATTTGTTCAATCATAAATCTCTGACTCTACTCACACACCAGAGAGTGTGTCTGCACTGTGAAGATGGGGCCAGAGCTCTGTGGTCCAGGTTGACAGTTCTTGGAAGAGGCTTGTGACTTCTTCCCATTCAGCCAAGCTGTCCCTTCTTCCCGGTCTATTCTGTTCTGAGAAGTGGGGTTTGCTGTGACTGTATGGGGGAGGGGCTCAGGCACCCCATGTGCTCTCTCAGCACAATCAAATTGATGACATAAGAACCACCGAAGGAATTCACAACCATGGCATACTGTGACCTAGTAGCCAGGCCAAGCCATTGAGCCTGGAGTTTGTGTGAGGGGCTGGTGGGCACAGAAGACCTGGGGCCAGGGATATCATTGTAAATGCTTCTGCTGTTCTGGTCCTGTTCTCTCTCTCTCTCTCTCTCTCTCTCTCTCTCTCTCTCTCTCTCTCTCTCTCGACCTGCTGGTCTTGAGGTCCTCTGTCTTTGATGCTTCACCAGGGTCAGGCTGTCTAGTCTATGTGGTGCACCCCCTGTGCTCTCCAGAGTGTATTTCACTGTTGAATGTCATGTCGTGTCTCCAGCATGCTTCGCCATCCTGATGATCTTGGTGTAGTCCTCAGCCTCACAAGCTAAACTCATGTACAGTCTGAAGGTGGAAATCATAGAGTGGACAGTGGCCATGAGACGCATTGTCTAGACTAACAGAAGCTCCTCCCTCAGCTATGCTTAGCATGCCCAGCGTGTGTGGTCTGTGTGCAGCAGGGCTTCCTGTCTTCCCTGTACCAGCCTCATCTAGGGTCTCCCATGTTCTCAGAGAGTGTGATTGTGTCTGTGTCCTTCTGACCTCCCCAGCCCTTCCAGCTAAGTTCATAGGAAGTCTGAAGAATGAAGAGGCCAAAGAAGGAACCACGGCTACACTGAGCTGTGAACTGAGCAAGGTGGCTCCTGTGATGTGGAAGAAAGGAACGAAGACCTTGCGAGACGGAGACAAATATGGCCTGAGGCAGGACGGAGCTGTGTGTGAGCTGCAGATCCATGGCCTGACCACAGCCGATGCTGGAGAGTACTCATGTGTGTGTGGGCAGGAGAAGACATACGCCACGCTGACTGTCAGGGGTAAAGATGGACTTGTCTCTATGTTACTCCTGTCACTTGCTCCTGCCTCCATGTGTGGCACAGCCCCCGTGGTACCCCGGGGACATGTGTCCATTTACTCAAGCAGATCCTCCTGCTGCCGTCCCTCCCCAGCTCCCTGCTTCCTTCCCCATCTGTCTATGGGTTCAGTTACACGGTGGCTCTTGATCAATGTGTGGCCTGGCTGTGGTGGATACTGGGGCATACTTGAGTGTGTGTGTGGGGTGGGGTGGGGCAGGAGAGGACCTCGGCCACACTGAATATTAAAGGTAATGATGTTTGTCCAATTGGGTTTGTATCTTGGTATGTATGGGCAGCCTGCTTATCTTGCTCACCCCAAATTCTGCCCCTTTGTCTGTGATTCACATCCTTTCATGACTGGACAGAGTCCCAACTTTTAGGAAGGTGTTGGAGATAGGAGACAACACATCCATAGCTGCCCTCCCTCCACCTTGTGCCATCCTGAGTTAAGTACTTTCTCTGGTAGATTCCATGTCCTGTTATCAGCCAGGATGAATCGTGCCTGCTAAAGATCACAGAGAATCTGGTACCCCTGTGGGTTTTGGGACCCTTCTCTGATCATCATATCAGATCTATGGAAAGGACCATGGTCCTGATGTTAAGAGAACATAAAACTCATAGCCTGTTCTCAGAAGAGCAGTATATGACCCCACCATCTGTGGGGTTTAGGTCTTCTCTGTGCTATTCAGGTCTTCTGCACATTGTTGGCTTCACTTGCTCTGGTCATAATAATTCTGGTGGCTTTCTGACCTCCATAGCCATGCCCACCAAATTCACAGAGGGTCTGAGGAATGAAGAGGCCACAGAAGGCACCATGGTGACTCTGAGGTGCCAGATGAATAAGGCAGCCACTGTGGAGTGGAGGAAGGGAACAAAGACCCTCAGAGATGGAGACAGATACAGCCTGAGGCAGGATGGGGCCATGTGTGAGCTACAGATCCATGATCTAGCTGTGGAAGATGCTGGGGAGTTCTCATGCGTGTGTGGGCAGGAGAGGACCTCAGCCACACTGAGTGTCAAGGGTAAAGATCACGTGTGGCCACTTGAACCTGAGGCTTGGTGTCTTCATGTTGTCTCATTGCTATGTTTGTTCTTCATATGTGACATAGATCCTATAGTGACCCAGTGGCCATCTGTTCTGTAACTAGGGTCATCTGGAGTTCTCCATCACTACTTCCAATTGTCCAGAATGTTCTCATGTTCATGTCCACCTCAACCCCTGGGGTCTTGCTTCCTTTTCATCTGTTCCCTAGTTCATTGTTCCTGACTCAAAACCTTCGTCAGAATACGTGTCTCCTTGTGTATTCTGTGTTCTGTGCAGTGTGTCCTTCAAAGAGTCCCATGTTCTCAGGGTCTGCTTGGTCCTTTCAGCCTTGCCCTCCAAATTCGTAGAAGACTTGAGAACCCAAGAGGCTACAGAAGGCACCATGGTGACTCTGAGGTGCCAGATGAGCAAGGCGGCCCCTGTGGAGTGGAGGAAGGGGTCAGAGACCCTCAGTGATGGTGGCAGATACAGCCTGAAGCAGGATGGGGCCATGTGTGAGCTACAGATCCATGATCTAGCTGTGGAAGATGCTGGGGAGTTCTCATGCGTGTGTGGGCAGGAGAGGACCTCAGCCACACTGAGTGTCAAGGGTAAAGATCACGTGTGGCCACTTGAACCTGAGGCTTGGTGTCTCCATGTTGTCTCATCGCTATGTTTGTTCTCCATATGTGACACAGCTCCTGTAGTGACCCAGTAGTCATCTGTTCTGTAACTAGAGTCATTTGAAGATCTCCATTATTACTCCCAATTGTCCTGAATGTTCTCATGTTCATGTCTGTTCCAATACCTGGGGTCTTGCTTCCTTTTCATCTGTTCCCTAGTTCACTGTTCTTGACTTAACTCCTTTGAGATAATGTGTGTCGCCTTGTGCATTCCATGTTCTGTTTAGTGTGTCCTCCAAAGAGTCCCATGTTCTCAGTGTGTGTTTGGCCCTTTCAGCCCTGCCCCCCAGATTCATAGAAGACTTGAGAAGCCAAGAGGCTACAGAAGGCACCATGGTGACTCTGAGGTGCCAGATGAGCAAGGCGGCCCCTGTGGAGTGGAGGAAGGGGTCAGAGACCCTGAGAGATGGGGGCAGATACAGCCTGAGGCAGGATGGGGCCATGTGTGAGCTGCAGATCCGTGATCTAGCTGTGGAAGATGCTGGGGAGTTCTCATGCGTGTGTGGGCAGGAGAGGACCTCAGCCACACTGAGTGTCAAGGGTAAAGATCACGTGTGGCCACTTGAACCTGAGGCTTGGTGTCTCCATGTTGTCTCATCGCTATGCTTGTTCTCCATATGTGACATAGCTCCTGTAGTGACCCAGTAGTCATCTGTTCTGTAACTAGAGTCATTTGAAGATCTCCATTATTACTCCCAATTGTCCTGAATGTTCTCATGTTCATGTC